GGAGTCCCTTAGAAAAGCAGTTGACCTCTAGACAAACCGCACCATAAGGCCACGTCTCTCCAACAAAAGTTGTATTTTTTGTTAGTTGAAATTTTGGTACAAATAATCATTGGGGAGAGTTCTGATTGTGTACTATGATGTTATATTGAATGATAATACACATAAAACCAACTAATTCAATATGCCACTTTCTCTATTTATAACAGTTGATAATTATTTCCGTAGCCGTCTTGTAGCACAAGCATTAGCAAATGATGAAACCAAAGATACTTATGAACACCCTCGAGTTTTTATTACCGATGCCGACTCCGGAATGGATGCTGCAATAGATATTCATTATAGTAATACTTATCCACTTCATTGTATTTATCATATATCTCAAAATCTTATACGCAACCTCAAGGCTCTCCTTAGTAGTTCCTTTAATGATTTCATTAAAGATTTTTATTTGTGTTGAAATGATCTTTCTCCTGATGGGTTTGGTATCCAATGGCATAAACTTATTATTACGTACCCCAAGGTAGCAAGTTACCTTAATTCTGAGCTCTACTTTAGCAAAGAAAAATAGGCTAAAGCATACACAAATAAATTCTTCACAGCTGGTATTTCATCTACATCACGTGTTGAAAGCGAAAATGCTGTAATAAAAAATGTTCTTCAAGGCCGACCTAGTCTTTGTGAACTTGCTGCTATTTTGGACTTGCGATTAAGTGATGAAGCACGTTATGTTAAACATAATGAATAGTACTATGCAAATACAAGTGCACAATTAAGGGGTGCTTCTGCTGAATGCTTTCCTGAAATTGACCATATTTTTAAGAAATATCTTACTGAAGAAATGCTTTTCCGACAAAGACATGAAATAATACAATCACTTGACTATTACACTATAACAGAATTACCTAATGATAGTTATGCTGAAGAAAGCTATGATACACAACAAATTCACCTGACCTTTCTTCTAGAGGATCTCTCTCCAAACAAAATTGTTGAGACATACAAAATTCAACGATGTTATTGTATTCATATTAACTATGTTGTTATCCTTACCAACTATTCACATTTATGCACATGCATGCTACTTGTTAATACTGGTTTGATTTGCCAGCATTTTTGGCATGTATTTGCCACTGATAGTAATGCATTTTTTCATATAACCCTTATCCCTAGACGTTGGTATAGTAATGAAAAAATACAAGACTTACATCTGGACGAACAACCCTACATGATGAATACTGGCCCGGTGCCTTCTAATGAAAGTAGCTTACCTTGCCCTGCACTTTTTCCAATGCACCAGATTGCTAAAATCCGTGGTAATGATGTTTTTGGCCCAGAAGTTCGTCGTGCTATCCAGAAACGACATGATTATGGAGAAACTTTTAACCTTGCTTGAAAGGCCGTTCAATCTGCAGTTGAGGCAGGTGGTGAATCTCTTTGCCGTCTTAAAAGAAGCCTCAATGACTGGTTTGCCGAATAAAAAGATTGACTCAAATTGACAATAATAAGGAAAATTTAGATCCTGAACAAGTTGAAAATCCAATTGAGAGACGACATAGAGGGCGGTCTTCAGTTAAACGGTTTAAGAGTAGTACTGAACAAGTCAAAAACAAAAAATCTCAAAATAAATGTGGAAAATGTGGAGTTGTTGGGCATTATGCGCCAACTTGTAATAAATAGAGGATGGTATCAAATTGAGATAAAAAAAAAAAAAAAAAAGAGCCAAACCAGTAATTAATAAAGATTATGTTTTTATAATGAACCAACAATTTATAACTCGCAATTATATAATTACTGGCTATATTTATAATTGAGTTTCGATAGTACTACAAAGTGACATGCATAATTATCCAAGTAAATAGTTTTTTATTATGAAAAAGCTTTTTATTACATTTAAGAGATCAATTAATTTACTGCTTATGATATTTGGTATATAGGTTTTTGGTTTGACATATTTATTATACCCAATCGATTAATTGAACTGTTGAGAAAATTAAACAATAAATATCATGCTTACGTTATGCATATAGGAAGCCAAGACATTAAGCTTGTACTCATCCAGTACAAAATTTTTTGTTGAAAAGAAGGGCCAAATATTAACTCGGTCTTGTCTGTTGCGGGTACTAACTGTGAATAATAAAAAGAAGGATCAGTAAAGGAAAAAGGATACAGGTCCAAGTGATGAAGTTTGAGATGTTCGATTTCTTAGATTTGTGGATTAAAAGAGTGATAGTGCCAAGGAATACGTGACAGTTAATTGAAGGAAAAGTGAAAATGTCAGCATAGACAAATCGAGGACAAAAAAAATAGTGAATGTTAATTTAATTGGTCAAGGAAGCCAAATATGACAATAAATGCAAAAATTAAAGACAAGCCTGAGGTGAAGATGTGAATATAATAATCATGCGTTGTACAGTAGAATAACAAACATAATAAAGGTGCAAATAACCCAAAGAACGATAAAAGATTGAATAATAATGGCGATTAACATCTAACTGGATCCCAAGTTAAGTGAATTCATTCATTATCAAAAATCTGTAGACATGAATGATGGTAATCGATATATGGGTTGATAGTCACTGTTGAAAATCAGTTTGATACTGGTCATGCGAATGGAATGAATAATCTTAGATAATGTAGTTTGAAATTGAAATGGATATATATATTTCAATACCGGTAGAAGCTCTAAAATAATGATAGATGAGGTAAAAAGGATGAGCACAAGGGGTTCCAAAAAATTCATTTGAAATAGATCTGCCAGAACGTCTTGAAACATTTGTTATTGAATGTCATTGTTATCGGGATGAAGATATTAGAAGAGATTAGTATGAAGCACTCGCTCATTTTAAAAACCTGCAAATATGAACCATGATATGGTCCTGAGTCCCGCTACTAAAATGGAATGAATATTGAAAGAAATAAAGAACTAGATTCTGTTATCAGCATGAAATTGGAGTCGAAACGAACAAACATGGAACGTTCATTACCATCAAAAAATTACAAGATGGAACTTACTGAAAAAACGACCAATATTGATCATGGTGTTGGAGTTTAAAGTGTAAAAATAATGTATTTGAAGCTAAAAGCTTCCAAGCGTTAAATGAAACAAAAAATCTTACCAGAATGTGTGATAATGGATCCGTTGGTAATTGTTATCAAAAAGAGGTGGGAGTTGAAATGAAAGAGCATAAAGTATTCCTTGATTGTCAAAGATTTGCCAATGAGGGTTATGAAAAAATAATCAGAGTTGAAAAAGATACATGTGGAAAAATGCCAATAAGCAGATACAATAACCTTGGATTATGGCATAAATGCAACCGAGGATAAAAAATCATTTGAATGGAACTTGAAATCTATTGAACATAGTCCTGAAATTATCGCTATAAGAGTGCTTAAAAAGGATAGGTAAGTTTGTGCAATTGATGGTGAAAGGAGATCAATATGAGGAATCAAGAGTATGAAAAATTGAGAGTTAAAACGGTGAAGATAACGTGGTCAATTAAAATAGTAATGTGAAATAAGTGGTGATAAAGGGAAGGAGAATGCGAAAAGAAGGAGGGTCATTAGTAAAAGAAGCGGTGAAACGTATAATATGAATGAAAAAATTACGTAGTACTTACTTGTAATAAGTCTTGCCTAATAAAAAAACCATAATTTAAACTATATATATACTTTAATCTGTATTTATATGGTTTGCAATTTGATTGGCTAATAATACTCTGGTGACTGTTACTGCCAGCGACAAATAGATTTACCCTAATTTTAAAATAAAATAAATATATAGTAAAACTTTTATAATTATTAAGCTATAAACCTATGCAATATATAGAAAAGATTTAATATAAAATAAAATAAAAATTTAAATCTAAAGCAAATTAATTTAATTGATAATCCATTTGTCACCTGGAGGAGATCCGCAAAATTTTATAAATAAAATTTACTATTGGCCCAAATGTG